TCTACCCAAACTCATGTCCATTGAGTCGGTGATGCCACCAACCATCTCATCCTCTGTCGCCCCCTTCTCCTCCTGCCCCCAATCCCTCCCAGCATCAGGGTCTTTTCAAATGAGTCAGCTCTTTGCAGGGTGACAATATACAGCCTTGACATACTCCTTTTCCTATTTGGAACCAGTCTGTTGTTCCATGTCCAGTTCTAACTGTTGCTTTCTGACCTGCATACAGGTTTCTCAAGAGGCAGGTCAGGCAGTCTGGTATTCCCATCTCTTTCAGAATTTTCCACAGTTCATTGTGATCCACACAGTCAAAGGCTTTGGCACAGTCAGTAAAGCAGAAATAAGATGTTTTTTCTGGAACTCTCTTGCTTTTTCAATGATCCAATGGATGTTGGCAATTTGATCTCTGGTTCCTCTGCCTTGTCTAAAACCAGCTTGAACATCTGAAAGTTCACGGTTCATGTATTGCTAAAGCCTGGCTTGGAGAATTTTGAGCATTACGTTACTAACATGTGAGATGAGTACAATTGTGTGGTAGTTTGAGCATTCTTTGGGATTGCCTTTATTAGGAACTGGAATGAAAATTGACCTTTTCCAGTCCCGTGGCCACAGCTGAGTTTTCCCAATTTGCTAGCATATTGAGTGCAGCACTTTCACAGCATCATATTTTAGGATTTGAATAGCTCAACTGGAATTCCATCACCTCCACTAGCGTTGTTTGTAGTGATGCTTCCTAAGGCCCACTTGACTTCATATTCCAGGATGTCTGGCTTTAGGTGAGTAATCACACCATCATGATTATCTGGGTCGTGAAGATCTTTTTTAGACAGTTCTGTGTATTCTTGCCACTTCTTAATATCTTCTGCTTCTGTTAGGTCCATACCATTTCTGTCCTTTATTGAGCTCATCTTTGCATGAAATGTCCCTTGATATCTCTAGTTTTCTTGAAGAGATCTCTAGTCTTTCCCATTCTATTGTTTTCCTGTATAGAGGGAACCTACCTCAACATAATAAAGGCCATATATGACAAACTCACAGCAAACATTATACTCAATGGTTAAAAACTTTATTTCCTCTAAGGTTAGGAACAAGACAAGGATGTCCACTCTCACCTCTATTATTCCATACAGTTTTGGAAGTCCTTGCCATAGCAATCAGAGAACAAAAGGAAAAAAAGGAATCCAAATTCCAATCCAAATTGGAAAAGAAGCAAAACTGTCACTGTCTCCAAATGACATAATACTATAGACAGAAAATCCTAAAGATACTACCAGAAAACTACTAGAGCTAATCAATGAATCTGGTAATATTGCAGGATACAAAATTAATACATATAAGTCTGTGGCACTTGGATGCTACATACAAAAATTCAGAAACAATCCAAATTACCATTATCTCAAAAAGAATAAATACCTATGAATAAAGTTACCTATAGGGGCTTCCCTGGTGGCTCAGATGGTAAAGCGTCTGCCTGCAATGCGGGAGACCCGAGTTCGATCTCTGGGTTGGGAAGATCCCCTGGAGAAGGGAATGGCAACCCACTCCAGTACTCTTGCCTGGAAAATTCCATGGACTGGGGAGCTTGGTAGGCTACAGTCCATGGGGTCGCAAAGAGTTGGACACAACTGAGCGACTTCACAGGTTCACAGGATCAAGGAGGGAAAAAACCTGCACTCAGAGAACTATACGGTACTGATTAAAGAAGTCAAAGATAACACAGACAAATGGAAAGATACATGACGTTCTTGGATTGGAATAATCAATACTATCAAAATGACTATATTAACCAACAAAATTTACAGATTCAATACAATCCCTATCAAACTACCAATGGCATTTTTCATAGAGCTAGAACAAAAAATCTTAAAATCTGTATGGAGACATAAAAGACACTGAACAGCCAAAGCAATCTTGAAAGATAAACAGAGTTGGAGGAACTGGGCTCCCTGACTTCAAACTATACTATAAAGCTGCAGTCATCAAGATAGTATGGTACAGGCACAAAAAAAGAAATACAGATCAATGGAACAGGTCAGCAAACCGAGAAATAAACCCACATGCCTATGGTCACATATCTATGACCAAGAAGGCAAGACTATACAATGGAGGAAAGACAGTATCTTCAATAAGTCTTACTGGGAAAACTATAAATGGTACCGGAAAAGCATGTAAAAAATGAAAGTAGAACATTCTTTAACACCATACACAAAAATAAACTCAAAATGGATTAAAGACCTAAATATAAGAGTGGATACTATAAAAGCTCTTCGAGGAAACATAGGCAGAACACACTTTGACACAAATTGCAGCAATATCTTTTCCAAGGCATCTCCTAGAGTAACGGAAATAAAAATAAAAATAATCAACGGGACCTAATTAATCTTAAAAGCTTTTGCACAGCAAAGAAAACCATAAGAAAGGCAAAAAAACAACCACAGAATGGGAGAAAATATTTGCAAAAGATGTGAGTGACAAGGGGTTAGTCCCCCAAATTTATAAACAGCTCATGCAACTCAAAAAAAAATCCAATCAAAAAAATGGGCAGATCTAAGAAGACATTTCTGCAAAAAAACGACATAGAAATGGCCAAGAGTACATGAAAAGATGCCAATTATCATTAATTATTGGAGAAATGTAAATCAAAACTACAATGAGGTATCACCTCACACTAATCAGAATGGCCATCATCAAAAAAATCTACAAATAATAAATACTGTAGAGACTGTTGAAAAGGGAGCCCTCTTACACTGTTGATGGGAATGTAAATTGGTGCAACCGCTATGGCGAACAGAGAGAGGTTCCTTTTAAAACTAAAAACAGAGCTACCACATGATCTACCAATCCCACTCCTGAGCATATTTTGAACAAAACTGTAGTTCAAAAAGATGCACGCACCCCTGTGTTCCCTGCAGCCTATTCACAATAGCCAAGACATGGAGACAACCTAAACATCCATTGACAGATGAATGGGAAAAGATGTGGTACTTACATACCATGGAATACGACTCAACCACTAAAAAGAATGGAATAATGCTATTTGCCTCAACATGGATGGACCTAGAGGTTATTATACTGAGTGAAGTAAACTTCTTTAGACAGACAGCCTGAAACCTGAACTTTACAGATGTCACCGAAGAGGCTCAAGAGGAAGTGAGGTACCTGTTTCTGAAGACTGGAGGAAGTTCATAGTCTGGCAGTTCCTCACATGGTTAACCAGTGATCTCACTCCTAGATGCACGCCCAAGAGAGAATGTATGTCCACAGATAACTCACACACAGATGCCCATAGCAGCATCTTCATAACAGCCAAAAATTGGAAACAATCCAAAAGATCATTAGCTGGTGAAAGAATAAGCCAATTTTGGTGCATCTGGACAACGAACATGATCTGGCCACCAAAGGAGTGCAGCACTGACAGACCAGCACGTGGTCCCTGGAAAACATCAGGCCGATAAAAGACGCCAGACACAGACATGCACGTGCCGTGGGCTCCACTTGCACGAGCGTCCGGAGCAGAAGCGCACGCAGAGACAGACGGCAGAGGACAGCTCACCTACGACTGGAGCAACGGGGGTCAGGGGAGGAGACAGGTAAGCTGACGAGAGGTTTCTTCCTGTGGCAATGCAACTTGCTCTGAACTTGATGGGGACAAGGGATCCACAACTCTATGAATAAACTACAAGCTGCTGAACTGTGTTAAATGGACAAATTGTGTGGTGTGTAAATTATTATCTCAAGAGAGCTGTTAGGATAAGATACACCCGACATCATTAATCATTAGGGAAAAGCAAATTAAAACCACAATGAGAGACCCCTACAAACCAATTATGATGCCTAAAATAGATAATTTTTAAACCTGACGGTACCAAGAGCTGAAAAGGAAGCAGGGCCAATGGAAAATCATATGCTACTTGTGAGAATGCAGTCTACCAAACATTTGTTGTCAACATCCGGAAGTGCTTAGTTCTGGTCAGTTATTTGAGGGTCTATGTGCCTGGAGTCTCTGATGAAGACTGAGGTCTATCATCCTCCAGGCCTCTCCAGCCCAGCTGTGTCCTCCTTTCTGGGGCACTGTGCACAAATTGGGCAGGAACTGGTCTCACAGAGGCCCAGTCACACACCCAGGTTCTGCTCCACAGCTGACGCCTGTGCACGCAGATCTGCATGTGAAACCTAAGAACACACTTCAGTCCCACATGAACAGAGGCTCCAGGGAGCAAGGCTCACATTTGGATTTTTCTGCATGTAAACCCGTCCTGGCAAAGTCCCTGCATGTAAGGCGCACATTGAGAATGATGCTGGACTGGCTTGTTCGTGAGGCAGGAGAACAAAATGGACTGATTCTGTTACCCTCATTTTCTGTACTAAGACATTGCTTCTGTGATAGAGTTCTGAAGAAATGTAAAGCTCTCCCACACACACAGATGTTTGATTCAAGTCAAGGAAAAACACCAAGCTTTCTGCCTCCATCCAATTATACCCCTGCTTAATCTCCTCCTCTTCAACTTTTCTTAAATTTATTTAATGGGAGGACAATTACTTTACAATATTGTGATGGTTTTTTCCATATATCAGTACAAATCAGCCACAGGCAGACACGCGAACCCTCTCTCCTGAACCCCCTCCCACCACCCTCCCCACCCCATCCGTCCAGGTTATCACGAGCACCAGCTTCGCGTGCCCTGCGTCATACATCAAGCTTGCGCTGATTATCGATTTTACACATGATGATACATATGTTTCAATGCTATTCTCTCAAATCATCCCACCCTCTCCTTCTCCCACTGAATCCAAAAGTCTGTTCTTTACGTCTGTGTCTCCATTGCTGCCCTGCACATAGGACTGTCGGTACCAAATACCATATATATGCGTTAGTATATGGTATTGATCTTTCTCTTCCTGACTTACTTCGTTAAAACAAGGTGGCGGTAAGGGTGGGGGCCTCACCTCATGGCCCCCCACCCCCCCACCCAGTGGAAATGCAAAGAAACCCCCTGACTTACAGTGACCAGGACCAGGCTCTGGGGGTGCCGACTCCAAGCTCAGGGCAGCATCAGGTTGCTTCTTGGAATCTTGCAAAAGATGCAGAAACACCTTTTTAAAAATGGAAAAGAGCTTCACATTATTTTATGTTCCTTTCCACATTGTACCTCTTCTGCCTCAATTACACAACTGGGTCATTATGACAATAGTCACCAAACAGCCACCATACTTGATTTGGTTGTTCAGTTAAAGGACAGAACTCTAAGGCCACCTGGTCCTGCCCACAGGACAGAAAGGTGAGTGAAACCAGTCTGAAGCTCAGGGCACGTCGGTTCTGGCCAAGCTGCCAGGCAGGAGTGGGCAGGGCATGTGAGGCTGACCGCACAGGGCATCCAGCTCAACTGCGGTTTGTGAAGCACTGTCCAGCATCTGAGAAACTCAGGAAGAACCAGGCCACAAACTCGTGAGCCGCACACCGATTCAGAGTGGGTGGGGCCACATGCGACAATCCCCACCACACCGTCCTCTCCACAAGTGCTGGGACCTCACGCTACCTAAACAGGTTTGTCTACAAACTGGCTTCAAGTCAGTAATTGGTTAGTGCTGGACTCTTCAAACCGAAGGGCTGCGGCTGTCATCAAAGTCCACAAACAACAAATGCTGCAGAGGGAATGGAGAAAAGGGAGCCCTCCCACACTGCTGGCGGGAATGTGGAGCACTCCCTATGAAGAACAGCATGGAGGTTCCTTACAAAACTGAAAACAGAGCGACCACATGACCCAGCAATCCCAGTGCTAGGCACGGATCTGGAGAAAAACATAACTCAAAAAGACAGATGCACCCCAATGTTCACGGCAACACTTTACAACAGCCCGGTCATGGAAGCAACCTAAATGTCCATCAACAGAGGAATGGATAAGGACAACGTGGTGCGTATATACAATGTAATATTACTCAGCCATAAAAATAGTGAAATAATGCCATTTGCAGCAATATGGATGGACACAGATGATCATATTAAGTGAAGAAAGGCAGAAAAAAGAAAAACATCATAAACATTGCTCATATGTGCTATCTAAAATATGACACAGATGACCTTATTTACAAAAGAGGAAGACTCACAGACATAGGAAACAGAGCTATGGTGACCAAACAGGGAAGGAGGGAGGGATAAACTAGGAGTTTGGAATGAACTTATATACACACTACTATAAAAGAACTAGACAACCAACAAAGACCTACTATCTAGCACAAGGAACTATACTGAACATCGTGTAATAACCTATAAGGAAAAACAATCTGAAAAGGAATATATGTACGTATTCATATATACATACATGTATATGTATAGACATGGGTTCCCCGGTAGCTCAGCTGGTAAAGAATCTGCCTGCAGTGTAGGAGAGCCCGGTCTGACTCACGGGTCAGGGAGATCCCCTGGAGAAGGAACAGACTACCCACTCCAACACTCATGGGTTTCCCTGGTGGCTCAGACAGTAAAGAATCTGCCTGCGATGCAGGAGACTTGGGTTGGATCCCTGTGTTGGGAAGATCCCCTGGAGGAGGGCATGGCAACCCACTCTAGTGTATTTGCCTGGAGAATGCTTATCAGAGGAACCTGGCGGGATACAGTCCATGGGATCACAAAGAGCAGGACACAGCTGAGTGACTAACACTACTATACATACGAAACGGAATCACTCTGCTGTACACCTAACGCTAACACAACATTGAAGATCAACTATATTTCAATAAAAAAAATTTTAAATCCAAGGACTAGGCCCAAAATCAGTACGAGCGAGGTGCAAAAGCACGTGCTGGAGGCAGGGAGATGCGAGGACAGGCGCCTGTGGGTGACTGCTGGGGGGAGGGGACAGGCCGAACGCAGAGGAGGGAGGCGTCCCTGATGCGAACCCTCGCGGGTGAGGGGAGAGGCAATCTGCAGAGGGCAGAGGCGCTGGGGTCTGAGGCAGGGGCTCCACGCCCAGCTGAGGTCTGGTCAGCCCTGCGCTGCAGACAGAGGACTCACACATCCAGAGGGCGGAGTGACAGTAACTCAGTGCATGACAGCCACAGGCCTGGGAGCAGGCAGCGGGTTTCCTCACTCATGCCTCAGCCCCTCCCGGGGACCATCGCTGAGCCAGGCACGGCCCAGGGCTGCCCTCCCCCGGCAGCATCACCACACACACGCCCCCTCACCCCTGCCCATGGCTGCAAAGCCCTGGGGTCCTGACATCAGCCCCGCTGCAGCCTCCCCACCAGCTGGGTTCCCGCTGTGGCTCCAAGTCCCCCCCCCTTCCAGCGGACTCTGCAAACAGCACTTCCATCCTGAGTTTATTTTGGGGACCGAGCACAGAGGGACTGACTGACTCTAGGCCTTCCTAGGAGCCCGTGGTCCCTAGGAGAAGATGGGGAGAGGGCGCCAGGGGAGAAGCAGCTGGCAAGGGGGGAGAGACCGGCCTTCTCAGTACATATGATGAATTAGTTTGGGCAGACTCCCGCTGAGAGGATTCTGAGTCCTCCAAATTGATGATGAGCCATGAGGTGTCATTCATTACTTTTGATCTGATGAGGTTGCTTTTATTGGTAAGATAACCCCTTGCTGATTCCCAGTAAGACCCCAAGGAAAAGCTGCAGACCTCACAATTACTACAGGTGGGAACAACAACTTAATAATAAGAGAAGAGCAACGCTGTGCCACATGTCACCCTGGAGAAGGATTCACCACCCCAGCTTCGCTGCTCATCTAATAAATGGCATTAATAATAAGATACAAAAAACAGAAGTGTTGTTAAGAGTGAATGCATTTGCATGTAAAGCTGGGAAGGCAATGCCAGCCACATGGGAAGCTTGTGATATCTGACCCCAAGAGTGATGGGAGGAGGAATAAGGACAGCTGGATGTCTGCCACGTGTCACATCATTTAATTATTAAGTTGACCCAATGAGATCAACACGGCCATCCCCCTAAGAGGAGCGTGCCGAGGCCAGTGAAACCAGCATTCGCCTGGTGCATTTACCAAGAATGAGATTATAAACAGCAGAAGTAGTGCAGCTCAAGACTCATTCACTGAGCAAAGACTTCCTCTGTACCTCATGTTAGTGGGAACTGTCATTGGATTTTAAAATGTAATTGTGAATTATACAAAACATACCTTGATAACAAAAAGGAGTCTTGATAATCATCTTCATCTGCTCTTTTAAGTTTCCCTCTTTCTCCTTTCCTAGCAAGGCAGTGTGTGCATATGCGCACCTGTGTACTTGGGAGGAGAAAACAGAATAAAGGCAGAGGCCCTGCTCTCAGAAGCTCACAGAACACCAGACAGATGAGCACAACACAGAACTCGGCACCATATGGACTAGTCTCAGCATCCTGGGGCAATAAAGTACCGCAGGGTGACTGCACTTAACAATACTGCATTGTACATTTGAAAGTAGATGAGAGAATAATTTCTTTCATTTCTCATAACAAAATAAAATACACAATTATGTAAGGTGATGGATATAACTAAATTTATAATGGTGATCATTTCCCAATATATACATAAATCAAATCATTTAATGTTGTGCTCTTTAAACTAATACAATGTTATATGTCAATAAAACTGAGAAGAAAGAAATGACCAAATTAGACATCAGGGACACTAAACACTGTGAAAACAATTGACAATTTAACAAAACTATGGATTTAAGTACAAAGCCTATGGCACCTCTAAAGGAACAGAAGGTCAGATGTTAGAGAGTCTTCATTCCGGGATTTGTGTTTTGGTAACTGAGAAGAGCTGCAGGATCTAACTTCCATAATGGTCCCAGATCACCTGTGTCAACCGGGCCATCAGTCCTCAGACCGCAGGGCTAAGCCTGCGCCCTCGTCAAGCACGGTTAGACCCCAGACTTGACCTGCACTGAAAGTGCCAGCTTGATGGACTGCACCCTGGAGACAGCCAGTGCAAGACGCCTTCTGCCTGGACGCTGCAGAAACTCATGAAACTGACCAAGCTCTGTGAGACAACGGCGGCATCACGGCAGGAATGTGAGCAGAGGAAGACTTTCCAAACTTTGGCCAATGTAACATAAGCTGCGTCTTTCAGCCTCCCCACAGAGATTTTTTTTTTTTAAGAAATGGAAGATAAAATCAGGAGATGGTTTAAATGATAAAGAATAAGACAGTCACTGGCCAATCCTCTCCAGGCATGGGATTCTGGGCAGGGCTGCCCCCTGCCAGGTCACACGTGCACACAGGAGGACTTCTATTATTTTAAAGAACTTGAATGCGTTCACAATTGCTGATATAACAAATTGTCGCAAACACGGGGCTTATGACAACGCACATCTTCCACCTTATGTTCCTGAAGGTCAAAATCTAAAACGGATCCGAGGACTAAGATCAGGATGTTGCTGGGCTGGGTTGCCTCGGCAGGTGCTGAGGGAGGAGGCCCTCTGCTGACTTTTTCAGCTCCTAGTGGACTGTTTGGCTCGCAGCCCCTCCCTCTGTCTTCAGAGCTCATCGCTGCGATCTCTGCTTCCACGAAGGCGTCACCTGCTCCAGGGTTCCAGGGATACAACGGCTCTGGAGGTTCCAAGTGATTCTCAGTATATATTGAGAGATGGAGTGAGCACGGAGCCTGAAACCCCACCACGAAGGGATCCCCCTCACGACCCCCTCACGACCATGACTGCATCCAGCAGCCAGGCTCCTGGGAGACAGGATGATTCTAGCTCCTCGGAATTACAATAGGATCTGGAGCTCAAAGATGGGGGAACGTGTTAGAAGACACGGGTCAGCCTAGTGGGGTCCACCGGCTAAATCTGATGTGAATTCCAAGTAAATAATTACAACAGTGAATTGTAGCTCACTGAACAAAATAGGAAGCCATGCGTCACTATGGATATCAAGAGACAGGGTGAAGATAAAGTGCTTCCTTATGCTAACGTCAATTTAAAAATGTAGAATCCACGCTGGGGTTAGGAAATTGTCCCCGTGGCAGATGTCTCAGCCACAAGGAACACGGAAAAGGGCTAAAACCAGTGGGGAAAGTGGAGTGAAGAAAGAATGGGAATTTGAAGAACCTCAAGGCACATCCTCAAAAAATAAGCAATAATGATAGAAAA